TAATGACACACTTTTTGAAAATTTAGATTAATTAATAATATTTTAAAAAATATCAACTAATAACAAAAGTATTCAAACACTAATTTATCAAGCAGAATATATCAATTTATCAAATAATTTATCAAATAATTAAATAAGAATTCAAAATTTGTTAAATCTGCATAATAATAATATTGTGTTTTAACAACAAGACAAAAATCAATAATTCAGTTAAAGGTAACTTTTGTTTGATATTTGAACGATATTTAAAATCTCGATCATTTTTCGAACATTTTTAGGTAATTAAATTAGCCTTTATATCAAAGTATTCTGGTTCTGCTGAAGAAATTCAACTGAAGTTAATTTGGTTTTAAAATATATTCTCTTTTCTCGCAATTCAGTCGAATTTTAAAAATCTCATAATTTTTTATCTATTTGTTTTTTTTATTAAATATAATGATTTTTATTTTACAAATAAATTATTCTTCGACAATTTCTTCGTGAATTTCTAGATGCTGCACCCCAACTTCTATACAAGTTCATCGAGCAGACGATGCAGCCAGGCCCTTCAGTGTCACTCAAGTGCATCGCGATGGGCAATCCTACGCCGCACTTTTCCTGGACACTCGATGGATTTCCTCTTCCACAAAACGACAGGTAAAACAAGCAGTTTTCCTTGCACACGTCTCTTCGGAGGACCGGGAATCCCAAATCTCGATCTACTGCTCTTCACTCTTTTTCTTTCACCGGACGAAAAGTTTATGGCACTAAAAATCGACGAATGATCTACACGCGGGGAGGATTATTCGCGGTTATTAACCTCGAGATATTACGCGAGATCGTCGGGAAATCACTGTGAAAGCGGGGCTTCCATCCAGCGGAGGAGGCGGATCCCGTGGGAGAGCCTCGATAGGCCCCTGCGGGCTTCGATTCTCTGAACCAATTGAGAGGAAAATTACCAATCACGCTGTTCAGTCTGGACGTTTTTAAAAGCAGGCCGGATTCCGAGCGATAGATTTAACAGGCGTTCACATAAGTCGAGGATAACTGACGACGAGGAGATGATAATTCCGCGTTTCCGCGGTTTGTCGGCGAATGATTATCGCCGGCGGCAAGTGGCGATAAAAATAATCTTGTCGAGAAAGCGAGATCTTTACGATGAAAGTATCTTCTTTGCAATGTAAGATTGTCCGGCATAAGAAATAGAAATTTCTCATAGTTGATAAAAGAGTCTTAAGAATCAAACCATACTAAGTGTAGTGATTTAGTGAAAATTAATTGATCAATTTAATTTTAAAGTTTTGTTTTAAAGAATAATGACGAGCATTTATTCTAAAGATGATAAAGTTGAGTTTATCTTCACAACATTTGAGACATATCAAATTTCTTTGAACATCTATTTCTCAAGAGAGAAGAAATCTAAAAAATATTTTTATTTCCTGAAAATTTTTTTCAGATACAATTTAGCGAATAACAAAAGAGAGATCAAAAAAATTAATTATTTCGGAAAATTCTTCCCAGACGTGTAATTTAGCGAATGATAAAAAAATCTTAGAGCGCAAACCATCGACAATAGCCATCAAACTCCACGCTAACGAACGAGGTCGAATAATTTTCTTGCCGACAACGAAAAATCTCTGTCGGCGCTTGGCAGATAGGCTAGCAAAATCGATTTGCTTGCAGATTCATGATAGGCCAGTACGTGACGGTGCACGGCGATGTGATATCTCACGTGAACATAAGCGCCGTGCGGGTGGAGGACGGCGGTGAGTACAGGTGCTCGGCGGTGAATCGCGTCGCAAAGGCGCATCACGCAGCTCGGCTCAATATTTACGGGTTGCCTCATGTGCGAACGATGGGAAACTATGCTGCTGTGGCCGGCGAGACGACCGTCATCAAGTGTCCCGTCGCGGGCTTCCCAATCGCCAGCATCACTTGGGAGAAAGGTTCGCCATTGTGCCAATCACGGTTTTCCATCGGATCCTATCTGTTTATTTCTATCTCAAGAAATCCGATGTTATTTTATTTTATTTTTTTAAATATACGCTAGCTCGATTTATCGAAACGCTGTGTGGATGATAGTTGCTCGTGTAAATATGACGATTTTACATACCGCGGTTATTCTTGCAGCTTTGATTTTTTTCAACGAAAAATATGATCTCTATATGAAAAATTTTAAAAGCAATTGCTTAATTATTTTTTCTTGATAAATATAGTAATTTTAACAACTGTACTGATAAATGTTTTTATTATAATTTAAATTAAGATATTAAAAAAAAAGCGACAGAGGAAAATTTTTTGCTATCATATGATCTACTAACTACTGTTTGTATTATTTTAAACAATGTCGATGTATTTGCAAAACGTAACTGTATTTTTTTAATAGAGTACTTTTTTTTGTACTTTTTTTTAGCATAAATCGATTCTTCTTTTATTATTCTGCAGAAAATACATATATCAGTTATTATACGAAAAGAACGGTTTTGCTGAAGTAAATCTAAATATTCAGCTAGATACAGATTTAAAAATAATTTTGTTTGTATTCTCAAAATAAATGTATATAACGTTCAAATATTGATCGCTAGAATATCAAAATTTTTGCTATTATGCTTGAGTTCTACATTGTTATTTTGAGAAACCAAATAAAATTATTTTTAAATCTGTATTTAACTAAATTTTTAGATTTTTTTTTTAACAAAATCATTCTTTTATAGAATCACTCTATACCTATATTATTGAAAACATAGTGTAAGAAGAAATCAATAATACAACTTTTGTCGAAAAATCTTTGCTTTACTATTTCATGCTCACAATATTTTCAAATCACTTTTGCATCCATCACGAAATTAAATTATTCAATTCTTTCGATATTAAAATTTGCCGCCTCGACATTGTGGAAAACCTTATGATAGTACAATATATTGATATATTTTTTTGATTTATACTTTAACATATTTCTGTATTTTATATTACATGTATGTCAGGTTTCCTATAAAATATTACAACGATTCGACTAAAGTCGATCATATCCAGCTGAAAATCTTCACAATTTAAAAATGTAGAATTATTTTTTGAAATACTTCGTATCGCGCATTGTGTTTCAGTTATTCGCGACAACATTCGCTTTAATTTCGCATATAAGAAAAACAAACATTTTCATAATACATCATGTGAGGAATCATCTTGAAAGCTCTCGGCTTTATCGTGCAAACGGATCGCGAAAAACCGACATGTTTTTCCCGCTTTAATAAAGTCCATCTCTACATGTTGCATCTCTTATTTGTTCAACCAAACACCGCGGCTGTAGATGATGGAATTAAATCTGCTTGCAAAGTTAAAATACTCGGAGCATTACAAGGAACGCATAAATAAATGGTCGTAATGTGTCTTGGACTGATGAAAAGTCACGCTTCCTTCCGAGGAAATTTTCCTCGTCTTTCTGGAGATCTTTCCTCGGAAAGACGAGCACTTTTTTCCCTCGCTTCCCGCGTTCTTCGGTAAAAGCAGACTGACGCGTATTACCGAGAGAAGGCGTGGAAAATCCTTTTATTTCGGCTGAGATCGCGGCTGTCCCGCCCGCGGGAAACTTTGAACGTTCCTTCTCGTAATGATGAACTCGACTTCGAGAAAGTTTCAAACGATCGTTCCACGAACTTTTCCTCACCCCGGCCTCGACATCGCGACGACGCGCGATAGCGACCGCGCGAAAGATCACCTACGGCCATTTAGTCCATTAAATACCGTCACACAGTATTTTTTAAGGATCAATGAAAATGTCTGGAAAATTACAAAAGGAGTAATCGGCTTAATATTTTGATTTCTACTTTCATTTTTAAAAATTGATTTGTATTATACTTTACATTGAAAAAATGTACACTGAAAAAATGAAATTAAAAACTAAATTTTAATAAGTATTTATTTAAATAATACTTAATATTTATTAAATGTAAGCATATATTTATTTAATATAATAAGAATCATTAATTTGATCTAACTACATTTTTATTGAGAAAATATTTATTTATCATAAGTAAATCTTTAGTAACTATTGAAAAAAATATGTATTAAGATTTAATAAATTTTTTCTCAGTATACATTACGTTTATATAGAGCGTTTCAAAAATAGTTGGCCAAACTCTAAGAACATATTCCACTCGTTGTTAAGGATGAAGGAAAAAAAGTCATATACACATGAGTTCGGAAACGCTTCTTTTCCAAGTTATAAACATTTCTTATTTAAATTATATATATTTACGTCGAACGACATGCCTCGCTTCGACGTGTAAAGTTAGCGATATATGCGTATAGAATTTAAATAGCCAATCATAAAGTAGGAAAGATAGTAATGACAGGCATTGAGCATTGTGTGGGGAGGAAATGTCGAAAACGAACGGGACCAGCAGATATCGAGAAATCAGAAGAGCTGAACTCGAAGAGAATTCAAAAGAGAGCATATCGAAGATCCTTGAAACAAACGAACTGGTTGCGGCCTAAGATGATCTTTTACATTGACGGAGGAACCGAATATTTGACGCACGAGCAGAATGTATTCACCCGCTTAAAGGGATGCTATTTATTGCTATCAGGAAAGCGAGGACGTAGCTTGGTGTCTTGGAATAACTGGCGGAAACGGTTTCCTCCTGAATCGGCTCTCTGCTTCACGCACACTCAGGAATGCATAACAGATATGTAGCACGAAATAATCATTGTATTGCGGTACTGTCGACTTGCGAGTTATCACGATCGTTCGCGTGTGTTAAAGTTTATATTTATTTTCGATACAAACGAATTGATTGCGATGAGCTTTGAACACTCCGTGTAATGAATGCGAGCATATTGACAAAGGAATCAAATGTCAAGCTTTGACTATTGTGTTTAATAAAAGAGTGACGATTTTCCGAAGCAAATTACTCAGTGATGTCATTATAGTCTATTCGAATTCACTTAATTCAATGAATTCCTCTCCTGTTAGAATATAATTGCAAATCGTAATTTTTATATTTATGTGATGTGAATTGATTTCTATAGAGTTGTTTTAGTATTTCGTAAAGTATCTAATCACGTTACAGACATTTCATGAATTGTACTTCTATTCACCTTCTAAAGTAAATAAAGAGATATTAGATAGGTCTGTATGGAATTGGAATCAGTCTTTGTTAAAGAATTTAAAAGTGAAGAATATTCATCAATATAACAGCTTATTCTAACCTCGAATTGGCAGATATCCACTACATGTACATAGGCGAACTAATGGAAATTACAGAGAAGTTCAACGTCTCTATCAACAAATCTTTCCTCAAAGACAATGCCCTGCTAAAAATATCTTCAGTTCGATTCAGGGAAACAGGATCTTTCTTATCCACAATTAATCGAGGACGAAGCAGAAATTCGAGCAGCTGCAATCGAAGAGCAAGTGATTAGACGAGTCACAGAAAATCCAAGACTTAGTACGAAACAGATCGCATTAGAAATGCAAAACATTTCTTTCTCTGTTTTTTTGTATGAAGGATATAAACGAAACTCTTTTGCATCCTTCCCATATACAACATCCCATATACAACAAGTACAAGCTCTCTTATCAGCGGATTATCCATTACGAGTAATTTTTGCTCAGTAATATTTGCAACAGTGTACTTTTCCAAATTTTGAAGTATCGATATTTTTCACAGGCGAAGCAAATTTTTCACAAGATGCTATAACAAATTATCATAATAATCATCTATGGTGCGAAAATCCACATGATATTATTGAATCTCAGCATCAGCATACATTTTCGTGATGGTACTATTGGAGATTTTCTTTTTGAACCGATTTTTCTCCTATCTACACTTAATAGTAACAATTATAGATAATTTTTGGAAACGCAACTCCCTCTAATATTAGAAGACATTCCATTACAGATACGCAATCAAATGTGGTTTGTATATGATGGAGCTCCAGCACATTTCAGCCGCACTACTCGAGAGTTCCTCAATAATAATTACATCAATAGATGGATTGGTAGAGGAAGACCCATTGCTTGGCCTGCATGTTCTCCCGATTTGAATCCTTTGGATTTTTATTTGTGGGAATTTTTTAAGAGCTTCGTGTACGATGAACTCCTGTTGTTACTGTGGAAGTACTCCAAAATCGTATTATGAAACGCTGCGTGTGAAAAAATGAAATATTCCGAGAATTTTTGAACGTCTTCAATAATCCGTGCGACGTCAAAAGCATGCATCGATATGGAAGGAAATCATTTCCAGCAATTTCTATAATAAAAATATAGAGTATAAGCATAAAATAAAATATAGGTATAAGCATAAAATAAAAAAATGTTTATAATTTGGAAAGGAAGCGTTTCCGAATCCATATTTATATGACTTCTTTTCATTCTTACAATGAGTGGAACATAGTCTTAAAATTTGGCCAACTATTTCTGAAACACCCTACATATATAATAATGCATGTATTTTATTTTTTATTTTATTGCATTTTATTTTTATATGTAAATATCCCATAAAAAATTTTTCTAGCTAATAATTTCTACAAATTATATATTTTTAATATTG